AGCCATGAATGTAAGAAGATTATTAAAATATGGATACGAAGTATTTCTCTCACAGTTGAAGAACTTTGCGTTCAGATTATCTTGCTGCACAATAATTTGTGGAAGTGCTTGGAATATGTGAGCAAGGAATTGAGGAAGGTCAATATTTGTATATCCATCCGTTATTCAACTTGTCATAGTTATGACTGCGCCATGAACGCAGGTCAACACTCCTCATAGAGTCTCTATTTTCCGCATTCTGCCTCAACTGCTGACCAAGCAATTTTACCATCGCATCATTGCAGCGTGTTCGTTGACGACCGACTCGATGTTGATGATCGAATGGAACTAAGTGTGTCATTCATGATGCGAATCAGTAATCTGCAGGTGAGCCAGGTACCTGGTCCATCTTCTCTTAGGCGTAGACGGCAGAAAACACGTCTGTTTATCCAAGTCACTTTCGTGCCTTCGGAAGATGATCCAGGATGTTAACTTTGCACTTCTTTCGCTCCATCCCTCATTTTATCCTCTTTGTGACACTATCAGTTTATTCTCCTCAGCCAGTATAGCAAAACAGGATTCACTCCACAGACCATGGCGGGTAGGATGGGATGTTTGCATCGAGCAACAGTTTCTTTGCCTTCATGGGCATCTTCCTGTCGAGTAATGATGTTGTAATTGGATTACAGCTGGCCCTTGCCGTCATACGCCCCCCGAGCCATTGTCACGTGGTACCTGACGACCAAAGTATGCATAGTTGGTGTTTTTTACGAGTTCTTCGCCACTGATGAAGATAAAGTCTTTGTACCTGTACCATTTTTGAATACATTTAAGTCTTGGAAAAGTCCGCCTCCAAACCGATGTTGACCTGTTGAAGTTACTGGATGTTCTTTCAGTGCTCTATCATGTTTTATCCGCATCCGCAACCGATGCTGTCATGTGCAGATAGCAAGTGCGTCAGCTGCTCTCCATCAACACTGGTGTCTTTGCGCGAGTCTGGCCAGTTGAAGAGTAACTCCAAATCCGCGGCAAAAAGCGCACGTGAGATGGTATCTCCTTCGAGCACTCCTCAATGGATACCGATGAGAAATGGTTTGCTGGACATGTTGATGTAAAGTAATGCAACCAGTGTTCAATTCCTCGATTAGGCATGTTGGTGCAATAGCTCAAATAGCATTTAACCAATGTTCATGCAAAACGTTTAGCAGAGCCATCACTTCAATCAGATAGAGCGCTTTCTTGTACTCGTCACTTGTTCATCAGCTAATCGATCGCACGTAGATGCTCGATGATGCAAACCCCTATACGAAAGCCAGTGTGTTCCTCACTTGTGACTAGTTCGAGATCCTTGAGTGAATGCGGTGAAGAGTTTGCAGATTTGCGAAAGGAGTGTAATTTATCTATAGTTCTTCTGGTCTTCAGAATCGAGGTTCATCGTGACAAGAACCATTCTTAATATCTTCCACACTTTACGCGCTTTGTTCCGTCTGGTGCATTTCGTGAAACGTACGGCAGGTGCTTTAAACCTGATTGTTCCTCCTTCTTTGAGGCATCCTGGTCTCATACCGTCTTTTCCTCGACAATTACCCGATTTAATGGTTATGATTGACCAATCATCTTCCTCCTGAGTTACTTCGAGAACGGGCTCTTGAGCAACGTATGCTCACTTCCAATTCATGTCTAATTTTGAACAATACAAGTTGTTATGGAACCCTGCGTTGTTGCCATGGAAGCAGATTATGTTCAGCTTGTTGCGATTAGTAGTTAATGCTCCTCGTTCCTCTTTCAGCGCACTTGGAATGGTTGTTTATGCGAGTGTCTGTGTTTTACCACTTGCACGCTTTTCTTTGGATCCGTAACTTTTGGTAATCGACTTCTCTTCTATTTTTTCCCTTCAACTTTTTCCTTATCACTTTGTAGTCCACACACAGTCCATTTTTCCTTCGTCCTTCAGGTGGGCTGTTCTACCCATTGGCTGCCTTGTTGAAGTGCTCATGCGTCGGCTTTTTGTTGATTTTGCTGTTCGGCTTGACATTCGTGACGGCATTGACAAAACGGTCATAATCCGCGTCAATGACTCAGCTGATGCTCATGTCAAAACTCATTAATGACGTCGTCTAAGCGAAAGACTCCGGAGCAAATCACAGTTCTCAACAAAGCAATTTCCCTTGGGTCTTTTTGCACCGTTCCTCTTTTGTAACATCGATCGCAACGGGAACATGCAAACCTGTGATCTGAGTTTGTAGGATGATGTTTTGTGTCTTAGAGTACTTTGAACAAAATGATGTTCATGACGTGAATGTGGTTGTTTTCCTCAAAAGTTGCGAAGCGGTTTCCTCGTTTGTTTCTTTTGCCTTTTCCCTATTTGCCGATGCCGACTAAGACCTCATTGCCGTTCGTTTCTTTCTCCACCACTGCACTGAAGCCACCTCTTAAAATCTTTGTGTTATTCGCAATTGCATCTTTTAATTCTGCCTAGAATCGCTCAATATCCTCGTCTTCTACTTCTTAGGTTGGTTTGTATGCTAGGATTTTTTGTTGTTCTTTATTTATCCATTTATA